CTGGACAGGTCTAAAGTCCATCAGAGACACCTGGACAGGTCTCCAGTCCATCAGACACACCTGGACAGGTCTCTAATCCATCAATTTTTAAAATCTTAAAATTTTTAAAATTTTGCAAAAATGTAAAAACGAAGAAATGTGAATCAGACGTGTTTCTATCAACTGGCTTGAAGTGAATCAGTTATGTCAGACGCATGCGTGTAGTAAACAGGAAGTAAAAGTTGCATCTCAGGAAAATGGAGAGAAGTTATCAGGAACGTGTTGCTACTATCAGAAATTTGTAATTATTCTGTCATCAACTAGTTTTGGTGATTTTACATGCAGTCTGCAGATGTAGAGGAAGAAATGTGATCTTTTCACAATACAGGATTAAATGAGAAGACGCAGACAGCGGGAGGAGGGTCCAGCTGCCAGTTGCAGCTGCAGTCGCTCTGGTACCGGGACCAGTTTCGGACAGACAGCAGGAACAGCTGATCAACATGTGAGGTAAATGTTCACTACCTCAGACCTGATTCGAAAAATGTGTTTCTATCTGTACTTTTGCACATTAACTCTTTTTTGAAAAACCCAAAAACCACCTCGTGAGCGTATCAACTTGGATGCAAATTAGAGGAAGTTTTTTCGAATCAATCTGTTTCCATCACCTTTTCTGATGCCAAACTTCAAAATGAGCATTAAAAACCTTGATGGAAACACGGCTACTGACAAAGAGACAACCATCCTCACTCCCAGTCACATCTAGAGTCAGACAGAAGAGCTCCAGAACAGATTCAAACTGAGAACATCTGGTTTGATTTAAAGATTGTTTGACACAAGCAGCACACATCCAACCTGAAGGAGCTCCACCATCATGGACCTGGACCTGAAGAGACCTCATGATGTACACCTGCTGCAGAAGGTGCATCAATGGACTGAGTTTTGAAGGAAGAATACACTAAAAACTATTTGTTACTTGTGTAGTTATTAGAAGTATTTAAAACAAGGCAGTTTTCACACATTCATATTCTTTAACCTCAAGTATTTTTGTAGAATTATTACTTTGAATCAAATAAAAATCAGAAATATTTCAGGCTGTAACACAGGGGTGCCCAACCTTTTTTGAACCAAGAGCTACTTTTGAAGTCAGCAGTTTGCCGAGATCTACTCGTCCAGTCTCAGTATAAAAAAACAATTTTTTGTCTCCCTACTCCTCACTTCTTTAAAGTAAATAAAACAGAACGTAATGTGTTGCTAGTTTTATTTAAAGTATTGTCAAACAAAACTATCTACTTAACCATATATTTACCTACAAAAAAAGATAAAATCCTTACTTAACTCCTGACAGAGAAACAGAAAAGTGATGCTTGAACAAAAAGGATCAATTTTTTACCTCCTTCAATTAGTACTCACTGTATCGTGTGAGCTATGAGGGCTGGAAACCTGCACACTGAGAACCACAGACTTAAATAACTTCGGAGCACGGGAACTCGTCTCCATTTATTCAAAGAACTCTCCTCTCTTCTCTCCATACAGGGGAGGAAAAACAAAACATAAAACTATCAGGGTCAACATGGCTACCACAAGAGTACCGCCCTATTTTTTTCCAAAATCAAAAGCACACAATATAAAACTCTCTTGCAGGCGGCTATAAAACCCGGTGCTGAGCTTCCAGGACTGGTTTCACCTGATCAGATCTGTTCCTTTTATTGCCTGGAACAGATCCATCAGGTGGGTTTCTGAATTTTATGCATTTTTGCAGAAATATCACCCGCCAGGGGTTTCTGGCGAAATCCAGGCAGGAGAGCGGGTGCTGGATGTAGGATCACGGTTCCACCTCAGTGGATCTCTTCCTTTTATTTCCCTACATCAGCACAAGCAGCCCCGTGCTGGAAATCAGCTGTTTCACCCACCGGAGCTCACCCGATGACTTTTGATCGCTTATATCTCTGTGTGGGAACGTCCCAGGAAGTTGAAACCACTGCAGGTTGTAGCAGAGATCCAGAACTTTAAAATGAGCCATCTCCTGCCCGAAACCGATGCTCAGAGCCGGCACTAGAGGCTCCGAAGTAAATTGAGTACTATATCGCCCACCAAAGCGTCTTTTTCGGCCGGTCGTTGGTTAATAGCTCCGCGGGAGGACGTCCCAGGAACTTGCAACCACCTCCAGTTTGTAGAGGAGGACCGCAGCTTTCTGAAGTTATCTCACTTTCCCGGATCCGATGGTGAGAGCCCGCAGGAGATGCAAACGAAGGTTGAAATTTCCTCCCAAAAATGTGCGTAAAATGCACTGTTGTGCGTAATTTGCTTATAGCTCCGCAGGGCAACATCACAGAGACTCCATTCAAGTACCAGAGCTTTAAAACCCAACCAGCCATTCCGGGATCCTATACTCCTAGCCCGAGGAGGGGGGCTAAAACCACCCCCGGCGGAGGTCCGACGGTGCGTAATTTGAGGTTTTTCGATTATATCTCTGCGGGTGAATACTGCAGGGACTCCACTCAACTTCCTCCTTGTAGGGGAGAGCCAGGGCTTTAAAACCCGATCATCCACACCGGGATCCGACGCTCCTAGCCTGGGAGGGGGGGCTAAAACCACTCCAGCGGGAGTTTCTTTTGCTTATTTCTCCACGGAGGAACGTCGCAGGGACATCATTCAACTTTCACCTTGTAGGGCAGAACCAGAGCTTTGAAACAAGACCTGCCACTCCGGGATGCGACGCTCAAAGCTGGTGCTAGAGGCTCCGCAGCAAGGCTGCGCTGCGTGGGCACCTGGGAATCAGCTGGCGAGCGACTGGTTGGGCACCCCTGCTGTAACAACATGAAATATTTACCAAATGGGGTAAATACTTCTGTAAATCCATTTGTTTCACTTGTTTGTTAACACTCTGAGGTGAAGTTATCTCATCACTTTACTGACAAATGAACATCTGACATCTTTGATGCTCCCACTCTGTCTCTTCTAACTCTACCTAACCTCAGAAGGGTTTAGATTGTGGAGGAATGAGGAGTAGTTTTAAGCCATGATGTAACCCAAAGGTCAACAGTGGAGTAGGAGGACATACTTTGTATAAAATGTAAGAGTTGTTACTGTTCATATTGGTAGGTGTTACCTTGTGAAGAAGCTTTTAGAAAACAGAGACCCGACTCAGAATAAGATGATTGACTGATCATCTGTATTCACTCATTATTTTCAGTAACAACTGCAGCCTGACGTTTTTAATTAAAACTCAACTAAAGACTATGGTTCTGCTCTGCAGCACATCATTGAACCGTTAACTTTGAGTCAACAGTTCAGTCATCATCTGTGGTGTCCAACCGAGACCAACACGTCTCCATTTGTACGTCTTTATGTGGACCTGTGTGTAACTGTGTGTTTCATCTGCAACATGTAAACTGGGTTTAATCCTCTCAGAACAGCTACATCATCACTTCACTGAGAATGTGTATCATCCTGCAGTTAATAGATAGGAGGGGCCATGTGTGCTCCTGCTAAAACATTTAGGTTAAATGACAAACGTGTCCTCTGACATCTACCTAAAGTCAAACAGAGGTGATGCCAGGACCAACAGTCTGTATCGTGCTGATCTTACCATTCTTGCGCTCCTTCAGAGGCAGAAGATTTGGAGCAGGCTGAAGCGAGAGCTCCTGAAGCTCGTTGGTCACTGCTTCACTCTGAGGGCTAGGGGCCGAGGCGGAACACCCACTTACTTCCATAGTACTGGAGCTTGGCCCCTCCCCCTTCTGTGAGTCTACTGATGCCATGTTGACAGAGTGACCTGCAATTACAAAAAAAAAAACAGATGAAAATATGAGGAGACAGTGTGACGTCAACATCAATCTGTACATCACTTAGGCATAAACCCACTTCACGGTAAAGGTGTTGCAGTGGGGTCCTACAGAAAGTGTACTTGTTACAGTCTGTGTTTAAAGGAACATAGCTTCACTCTGACCACACTGGTAAAGGTTAAGGCTGGTTTAGACTTCATCAGAAGTAACAAACTGTTTGTCACTGATGTAACTGTTTGACAAAAATGACACTTCCTTCCAAGAACCAATTCTGTGAACAAACCCAAGTCAGAATCATTGTTTGACAAGGCTCTGCACCAAGTGTTGTATGGTTACCTTTTTACCTCTATATTTGGACTTACATACTTTAAGACGTATGTAACTATATCAACAATGTCTAAACGTCCTATTTAATATTTACCATATTTAACCAGGTGTTTTATTTGTATGGTCAAGAAATTAGTAGAAAATACCAGTTGTATATAAATGACCTTGACCTTTGACCCTTTAATGCCTAAATCTAATCATACTGAGTACTACATACTCCGGACTAATACAAATATGGGGCAGCTGTGGCAGAGTGGTTAGGGGAGTCGATCCTCTAATGCAAGAGTTGGCAGCTCAATTCCTCGCTATTCAGTCACATGTTGAAGTGTCCCTGAGCAAGACACTTCAGCCCTAATGCCTCTGATGTCCCATCAGTGTATGAATGTGATTGGCACTGATTAGTCTCCATAGATGATTGTACATGTTAGCTCTGTAGAGACCTAACAGAGTGCTGTGTGAATGGATAAATGAGGACACAGGTTGTAGTGTGAAGAGCTGTGAGTGTCCTGGTTTAGAAAGGTGCTGTATAAGTACAGGTCATTTACCATTTACTACACTAATGGAGTTACTATGCCCATTTATAAGTAAATATATAATTCATTCAGGAGATATGATGCACACAAGACCACCTGTGATGGATCGACAGCGCACTAACACACAGACAGAGAACAGTCTGCCTCCTGTCTCAGTGGACGGAGGCAGAAAAATACCTCATCACAGTAACTGCAATGTGGATAAGACTAACTTTTGACAGTTTAACTGATAAATTTGCACACAACCCTAGCAAGGATATAGCACACGTTTTGTGCATAGAAAAGACAGCACTGGGACAGGTGGCTTTGCACAGCAGTGGTGTCCAGGAGGGAGTCCACCTCGGCTGAACATAGAGACAACGTGCTCTGCACTATAGGCCAGCTTAAAAACATGGCTTTACACTTCTCAGTACAAGTGCCTCCAAGTCAAACTGCACATGGATCCTCTTCTTTTCACAGGTAGACATGATGTTTGTTTGTGCAGAGAAGAAACTCACTTACAGTACACACAGGGCATTTGAAAACTGGGACATGAACATTGGAGACTCTTTTAGAACAGGGCTTCTTCACCTTTTTGACCTCGGGGCCCAATTTGTTCAACATAAAGTGTCACGAGGCCCAGTCAGACATTACCAATGTATGGATCAAAATGATAATTATTATAAACCTTGGTTTAAAATGATAATTATTCTAAATCTTGGTTTAAAATTATAATTATTCTAAATCTTGGTTTAATTTATATTGTATTTGCATTATAACTAAATTAAATAC